GGAGTGGAAGGAAGCCTCGTACCCGGAGCCGCCTGGCTGTGCGGGCAGGCGCCCTTGTCCTTTTCTGTCTCATTTTGTTGCGTCCAGTGGAACCAGTGTCCGTCCAGAGCGGCTTTGGAAGGCCTGAGCGTGACTCCAGGCTGCCTCCTCCACCCACTTCACAGAGGAGGAGACTGAGGCTGGACCTGCTCCCGATGGTGGAGTTTGTGGGCCCCGGGCCTGTCCCACCAAACGCTGCTCAGTAAGCAGCCTGGCTCGTACACCTCAGCGGCTCAGGGGCCAATCATGTGCTCCCCAGAGCCCCGGGATGCTCACAGCCAGCAGGATGTTCTGGAAGCCTCCGCCCGAGGAGTGGTGCAGGATCCCTCCGACTGCCAACGGTACCTGGGCTCTTGGAAAAAACATGTCCACGTCTCCACTGCTCGCCACGCCCGTGAGCTCCTTGAACCAGGAGCGTTAGCCAAGGCTTCGCTCACCTGGAAGAAGTTGTGTGTTAGCCGCTCACACGGTGGCAAGTGGTACCTGCACCGTGACCCAGGCTGTTGCCATCCGCCTGCTCCCTGGTGACTTCGGGCAGGGTGTCTGTTTCCTGAGGAGGGTGGCGTGGGGGTGTCAGCCATTGGATTTCACGTCAGCCTGGGGGAGTGTGTGGTTCGGACAGAACAGAATGTCCTCTCCTCACGGTGCCGTGACTTTATCTTACTTTGGAGATTCTGTGGCTCTAATGGAAGCTCTTTGCCTGGGTTAGTGCACTGATCTCCCTGCCCCTGCCCCTGCCACGGAGGAGAAAGGAGGCTCTGAGGTTAAGGGGAGGGGAGCTGGGCCTGGGCTGGGCAGTTTTTAAAATATCTTTCTTCTATGTATATAAAAGGCTAACATGCAAAGTGTCCCCTTGGGAGTTCGACGGTGAGACTGGGAGTTCGATCGCTCACTGTGACATGCTGACCACCAGGGGGCGGCGCAGAATATGGAGGGTGACCAGTGGTGGCCGCAGGGCGCCGAGGGAGTGAGGGAAGGAGGAGGCGAGGAACCTGATGGGTCCTGATCGCCGACCAGGCCTAGGGACCCTACCCATGCGTGAATTTTGTGCACCGGGCCGCTAGTGTATGTGTGTGTGTATTGTGTGTGTGTGTTGATTGATTGATTTCAGAGAGAAAGGGAAAAAGAGAAACATCAATGATGAGAGAGAATCATTGACCGGCTGCCCCCTGCATGTCCCACACTGGGGATTGAGTCCACAACTCGGGCATGTGCCCTGACCAGGAATTGAACTGTGACCTCCTGGTTCATAGGTTGAACCAGTGAGCTGTGCCGGCCGGGCTGGGCTGGGCAGCTTTAACCCACACATTGCCTTCCCTTGCAGCATGGGAGTCAAGGTTTTGCACGAGTTTCTTTTTGGTTTATGTTTGGCCTTGCACTTGATGGCTCTGACCCACGGTGAGGTTACGGAACCAGAGGTTGAAAGTGCTCCGTTGAAGCTTCTCAGAAGAGAGGGACGGGATCTGAGAGGGAAGGTTCCAGCCCAGCCCGCGGCCCCACTGCTTCCTCAGGGGCACCTCCAGCCCCGGACCAGGTGGGCAGCCGCGTGCGGCCACCTGCAGTCATGTCCCAGTTCAGTCGGAGCTGGTGACTCCTGAGGCTGAAAAATCCGAGATGACAGATCCCGGGGAGGGGCGTGGGTTGGAAGTGAGGCCATTTCTGCTGGACAGTGGGCGCACGGGCCTGGCGCGGTGACAGGGGTTGAGGGGCTGAGAGGTGGTGGATGAGAGGGGCCCTCTCTGCAGGCCCATCGCGTGTCGGGGATTTATCGCCATTCAGAGGGGACGCTCTGTCCACATCTGCTCCCACATCTGCTCGTCACTGTGCAGCGAGGCTGTGGGCTCTCTCCCTGTCGGGCCCCAGGCACCGCCCCCGGGCGCCCCGCTCTGCAGGCTGCAGCCTGTGCTGCTTGCGTCCCAGGCGCCAGCGAGGACTCCCCCCTTGGCCGCCCTGAGAGGAAGGCTCTGCGAGCTCCAGAGTCCCGGGCGGAACCCTTTCCGAATGTGCCCGCGGCTCCGGGCGCAGAGCTCTCACCTGCTGAGCCGGCCTCGGGTCGGAACCTCACAGTCCAAGGGAGGCCTTGGAGCTTCCCCTCCTCCCCAGGGAGCTCCGCACCCCGAGACGGGCCATGGCTCCCCCACCTCTCCTGGGCATCGGCGAGCAAGTCCCCTCCGTCCTTGGGTCACACGATCCAGCCACTGCTGAGTGGGACGCACTGTGCACTCAGGGCTTTTCACGCTCGATCCATCTTCTCGGCAAATGTGGGGTGTTCCCAGCCCATCTCACCGCTGAGAGGCTGTGGCTCAGAGAGGCCAGTCACCTGCCCACGGCCACAGAGCAAGAACGCACTGCAGCCGGGATGGAGCCCAAGGCTGCCTGACTCCAGAGCCAGCCACTCACCTGCACGGGCTGCAGGCTAGCCCTGGGCCCAGGCGTGAAGGGCAAGGGTCAGGCCAGCTCGCAAGACATTTGTGGTCGGGAGGGCCCGGCAGATGGAGGTTGAAAATGGTGGGCAGTGCTCCACGCACATGGGCTGTGGGAGAGGCCCCCCAGGCGGGCGGTGCAGGGGGCTGCGGGGGCTGGGACTGGATGGGGTGGGCCAGGCTGGGAGCAGCCGCGAGGGGGGACCACAGGCAGCAGAGCTGGGTCTGCTGCATGGGGGTCGCAGGGGGGGCGTCCTCAGGGTCAGGCCATGTGGCTGGGTCCCTGTCGTCCGGGGGCGGGGGGGACCCGCAGCCACGTTTTATCTGACAGATAAGGCCCCCTGTTTTGTGGGTGCTTTTCTTGGATGAACTGGCGTGAGATGGAGGAAGGAACATTCACGGTCCCGTGGCCGTGGGCTCCCTGCTGGGGGGTCCCTGCTCCCTGCTCTGTGCTGGGAGGCCTGCGGCGCCAGACAGCTTTATCTGAGCCCCAGCCCGAGGCTCCCACCGTCACCAGCGGCACCGTCGGGGAACACGGAGAGGGGTCAGCTGGGGCCAGAGGACAGGCGGGCTGGCAGGGTCGCCGTCACCTTAACCAAACCACCTCGGACCCCCTCCCCAGCCTGGGGAGCCCGGGAGATTGAGGGCGGGGCCGGCCCGTCTCACTGCGGAGAGCGGCTCCGCATCCCGGTGCCTGGGAAGGGAGCCCCGGCGGCTGCTGCTGTGGGACTGGGTTTGGGGTGAGGGCCTCCTCTGTCATGTGCAGGGCCGGTGGCCAGCTCCTCCCAGGCGCTGACGGGCGGGTCATCGGGCAGCGGCGGTGTCCCCTCCCGCCCGCGGGACGTGGTCCATACTCTCTGCACGGGCCCGTGGCGTTGACCGCAGGGAGTCGAGGCCGGGGCTCCAGGAGGTCGGGCCTCGTGCTGAGCCCAGGAGTGAGCCTCCTTCCGGGGCCACCCGAGGGCCCGGCCTTGGAAGACCAATGAGCCCAAACAGAGCACCATGGCCGTCAGCGCCAAGAAACACGCCAGGCCTGGCGGGACTCACCCACAGGGCGCCGGCAGCCCAGGACACTGTCTCAGAGCCCGCTTCCAGGATGCCCTCCCCCCGGGGCCTCCCGTCCTGACCTCAGAGGCCGCAGTGCGAAGGCGCGGGCGCCTTTGTCTCCTTCCTGTGAGCAAGGCCACGGCCGCCGGGTGGCTCGGCTGGCTGTGGTGCCGTCCCGGGCCCTGAACCGCCGCGGGCTGGAATATTCAGGGCATGTTCCCGGTTGCGGGTTTGTTGCCCAGAGGCAAGCGGTGGATGTTTCTCTCATGTTGATATTTCTCTCTCTCTCCCTCCCCCTTCCTTTCTCTCTAAAATTAAAAATCAAAACAATACAGAAACTGCCCTGGACCGTGTTGCTAAGCCCAGGCCTGTGCAGGAGGCAGCCAATCAGCGTGTCTCTCACATCGATGTTTCTCCCCCCTCGCTCCCTGGTGTGCGTCCCCCACTCGCCAGGCTGCGTCCCCCCCACCCTCACATGAGAAGCCGTCCTCGGTTGTCCCACTTTTGGGCACCAGCCCTGCTGGGACCTCCAGGCCCCCCATTCTGCACTCTTCATGGTTCATGGCACCAACCATCTGGCCTGTAGGGGGTCAGTCGTGTCCTGGATGCCCTGACGCTCGGCTGGACAGCGGCTCAGTCGCGCCTCTGTCAGCCGCACCCGTCTTTCTCGCCCTCTGGACCGTGGAGACAGGGTCCCCGCCTGGGCAGGCCCATGTCTGAGTGTCCAGCGTGTGGGCGGGGCCCCGGGTACTGAGCTGCAGGCGTGGGAACTGGGTTTGGGAGATACTAGTTGAGGTTTAGGCTTTTGAGGAGGGAGTGGGGTGTGTGCGTCTGGCCCAGGGCCCGGTGGGTTTCCAGTACGAGTTGTCAAGTGACTAAAGAAATGGATGTGGCCTGGCCGGGTGGCTCAGTGGTCGTGCGTCGTCCCATGAACCAAGAGATCACCAGTTCAATTCCCAGTCAGGGCACGTGCCTGGGTGCAGGCTCCATCCCCAGTAGGAAGTGTACAGAAGGCAGCCGATCAATGATTCTTTCTCTCTATCCTTCTCCCTTCCTCTCTCTAAAAACCAGTAAAAAAAAAAAAAAGAAAGAAAAAGCCCTAGCTGGTGTGGCTCAGTGGATAGAGCATTGGCCTGCGGACTGAAGGGTCCCGGGTTCGATTCCAGTCAAGGGCACAGGCCCGGGTTGTAGGCTCGATGTCCAGTGTGGGGCGTGCAGGAGGCAGCCAGTCAGTGGTCCTCTGTCATCATTGATGTTTCCATCTCTCTCCCTCTCCCTTCCTCTCTGAAATCAATAAAAATATGTTTTTTAAAAAGAGAAATGGATGTGCACGGCCTCAGACCAGCCTGGGGCTGGAGTGGAGACCGAAGGACGGGCCCCTGGGTGGTGCTGTGGGGGGGGAGCCCCCGCCGCCCGAGGGACATGGCTCGTCAGAGGGGACCTCCTGTGGGGGCAGGTCATCGCTCTTCACCAGCCCCGTCTCCCCCACAGCGCGCGCAGACGTGCCCATGGAGGCCTGCTGTGCGGACGGACACCGCACGGCCACGCAGCACAGGGCCTGCTCGCTGCCCTACGCCTCGGAGTCCAAGGAGTGCAGGTGCGTTTCCGCGGCCTTCGCCGCACCGGCGGGTGTCCTTCAGGGCACGTGGGGCGGGGCCACCAGCACGACGATCTGGGGGGCGGTCCCCCCGCCGCAGCTCGACACTGGCCAGGTCACTGCCCGCCATGTACACGTGCTGGTACCTCCCACCTTCTCCAGAACTTTCTCACCTTCCAAACAAACTCTGTCCTGTTAAGCACCTGCTCTCACCCCTTCCCCTCCACCTCCCCTCCCCCGCCCGGCCCCTGCGCCCACCACCCGCCTTTCCGTCTGTGAATTCGGAACCGCGCACGCAGCACTTGTCCTCTGTGACCGGCTGGCTGCCCTCCGCGTGGCGTGTCAGATCCGACTGAGGGGAGGGCCTGCCCTGCTTGCGTGCTGCTGTGGGGGGGGGGGTGCTCAGGGCCTCGGGGCAGCGATTAACCGGCCGTAGGAACGTTTAAAACAGGCCCCGCTGCCTGTTTAGTCAGGGCGCTGCTCCCTTTTCCCTTAGATGTCACATAAAAAACGACAACAGGCCCTGACCGGTATGGCTCAGTGGATAGAGCATCGGCCTGCGGACTAAAGGGTCTCAGGTTCAATTCCGGTCAAGGGCATGTACCTTGGTTGCAGGCACATACCCAGTAGGGGGTGTGCAGGAGGCAGCTGATCGATGTTTCTCTCTCATCGATGTTTCTAACTCTCTGTCCCTCTCCCTTCCTCTCTGTAAAAAAACAATAAAATATATTTTTTTAAAAAACCAAAAAAAAAACAAACAAAAAAAACGACAACGGCAACACAATAGCTATCCCATATGAGTGAATCAAAATTAGACCATTTTTGGTCAGATCAGCAGAAATGCATGTTTTCTGGCCTGCCGCAGGGTTCTTGTAATCAGTCTGTGTGTGCCCTGAGGCGGGAAAGGCCGAAATCGCTGCTTTGGGGTACACACCCGGAAGTGGGGTTCTGGGTCCGGGGCGGTTCACTTTCTCATTTTCTGAGGAACCGTCGCGCTGCCGCCACCGCATGCATCCCCCTCCCCGCCCCCCGCAGTGCATGCGGTCCCTTCCCGCACCCTCGCCAGCACTTGCTTCCTGTTCAGCCAATGCTTTCGCATGAGCGGACGGACGGACGCATATCTGGTTGCTCTTCCTGACAAGTTAGTGAAATGCCTGTTATTTGCAAGCCCACCCAAAGCATGAGCAACAGGCAAGCCCATCCCAGAGCTGGAGGGCATTCTGGAACCACAGGGGAAGCAGGGTGCAGAGCCCCCAGGGGGAGGAGGAGGGGAAGGGCGGGCTGGGGCTGCTGCCCAGGGCAGAGGTGGTCTGGCCGAAGCGCAGGGAGGCTGGGGGGGGGGAGGGGTGGCCACGGTCTCCGGACAGGTGCGCTCGGTGGCCCCTCCTGCCCTGGCAGGTTTGGGCCGAAGCCGGGGTTATTTAGGGTCTGGTGGGAGCCACGCCTGTGACTTGCACACTCCTGCTCGCCTGCCCACCCCTCACTCTGCTCCTTGGGCAAGATACTCCACCTCTGGAGCTACTCCCTCCGAGTCTGGAAAGTGGGAATGAGTGTCGAGATGAATCCGACTTGGAGGAGGATGAGGGGTCTGGCCCAGAGTCAGCAGGCAGCCGCCTGCATTTTTTATTTTTTGAATCCTCACCTGAGGATATTTTTCCATTGCTTTCAGAGAGAGTGGAAGGGAGGCGGGAAGAGAGGGACAGAAACATCCATGTGAGGGGGAGACATCCATTGGTTGCCTCCTGCACGTGCCTCACCTGGGGCAGGGAGCGGACCCACAATCCTTCGGTGTGCACAGGCCGGCACTCTAACCATGGGGCTACCGGCCAGGGCAGGCTGTCTTTATTTTTTAAGCAGATGGGAATATTCTGTGGTGAGGCTCAGAGCTCAGGGAGGCGATCGGGGCTCTGGTGGGACAACTGGGTCTCCTGACTCGGCCCCAGGCACCCTGCCCCGTGTTCAGTCTTCCTAACACTCCCTGAGCACCCTGTGTGCCACGTGCTGTGTGTGTGTCAGGGTGAGAGGGGGTGGGTTGGGAGCCCCCAGCAGAGCCGTGGCCCTCACCAGCCCTCCGCCCTCCCCTACAGGATGGTCCAGGAGCAGTGCTGCCACAGCCAGCTGGAGGAGCTGCACTGCGCCACTGGCATCAACCTGGCCAACGAGCAGGACAGCTGCGCCGTGCCCGCCGCCAACGCCAGCCTGGAGGCCGTGTTCGTGAAGGTGCGCCCCTCCTGCCAGCGCGGGCCCTCCCAGCTCAGTGGCCATGCCCGTCAGCGGGCGGCCGGGCACCCCCACCACACCCCCAGCTCCGGCCCCTCTCCTGTAGAGCAGCAGGGGACCCTGCCCAGGAGGGAGGGGCACTCAAGTCTCCCCGCCTCCTCCAGTTTCATCACTGAACCCTGGGCAACACCTGGGCCCAGTCCAGCACTGGGCAAGCGGGGATGGAGGGACCCAGCCTTGCCCTGAGGACTCCGGTCCTGGGCCTTCAAGCAGAGGTCAGGGCAGGGGTCACCTGGGCTCAGGGCCTTCAGAACCTCCTCTCAGTTCAAGGCCCCCCCCCCCACACACACATACACACATTCAGGATCCCCAAGCTTCTCTCCCTCCAGGGCTCAGAATGGGCTCCCACTAAGGCCTCCAATAATATGACCTTCATAACCACCTAGAAGCGGACACTGAGGTTCAGAGAGGACCACATTCCAAAGTGGCTTCTCAGGACCCACAGGAGAGGGGTTGGTGAGGCAGAGCTGGAAGTGGGTCCATCAGGCCCAGAGAGCCCGGCACTGAGCAGATGCTAAGCTGTGACTGACCGACAGAGACCCCCCCGGGGCTCCAGGCCGGTCCTTGGGGCCTCCGCCCTGGAAGGGGGCACCTCTGCGTGGGCGTAGGGCGCTCCAGACAGTGTTCCCAGCACTGGGAGCTGCAGATAAATGAATGAGCTGCCCAGGCTGCCCCTCTCCCCCCTCCCGAGGGTGGGACCTAGACTGGCCTTGAGTTCGGGCTGGCGAGTTGCCTGGTCAGGGGCCATCGCTGGAGGTGCCCAGTGATGAACTGAATTCCCTGGAAAAAACATTTCTTGCTCCCAGTCAGGAAGCGAGGGAGTCAGGGAGCCAGATGGAAATGAAGCCTGGATCCCCAGAGGAGCTGTGTGGGCTCCTCCACACGGACGGGGGTGGGGGGTGGGGGGTGGGGGGGAGCTTTCTGTGGAGAAGGGAGGGCCCAGCGCCCCTCTGCCGCCCCCAGCCTGTTGCGCTTTTGGGAGGCAGCTCTGGTGTGAGGTAGGGGCGGTGTGGGGGAGTGCGGTCAGGCCAGGGGCCTGGGAGCCAGGGCCTGATTGACGGCCAGGGGCCCCTCCCGGGGCAGGGCTGGCTCTGCAGACGCCCTCTGCCTGGCACATAGCAGGCAGCTCGCCGTGTCCCCAGACGTGAGCAAAAGGAAGGTCCAAAGAGAGCATGGAACATTCTAGCGGGAGCGGAACAGGTCCCGCTGGCGGATGGGGGATGTGTGTTTCGGGGAAGGGTGACTCATCGGCACCAGGTGGGGGAGGGGCCACCTGCCTGGCAGCAGACGGGCTGATGGAGGACCCGCACCTCCAGGGAGGCCGGCTGAGGCCCAGCCCTGCCTCCCGCCCCCGCCCCTGCCCCCTGCCTCGTGGGCCTTTGGAAAGTTTGGCTCCTCTTAGGAGTAAAGACAGAGCAGCTCTCCATACAGCAGGGGGGACGTTGTCCCAGGCTCAGGTGTGACTTTGGGGAGTGCTGGGGTCCAGGGGGCAGGCAGCGACTCTGCCGGTCCAAAGGCTTGTTTGAAGTCCTGGGCTTTTCAAATACAGGAGTTGCTGCCTGCGCCTGGACCGCCCTGCCCTCCGGAGGGAGGAGGGAGACTTGCACATTCCCGGTCCTGGCTGGGCTCTGGGCCCAGGGAGAAATCTCAGACCCGCAGGAGCTGCAGGAGCCCCCCTGACCTGGCGGGCCCCTCTCATGCCTCCTCTTCCTGGAAGCGTGGGGCCTGCAGGGCCGGGGTGCTGGGGCCCGTGGAACAAGTCCCGGCGCTGGCCCTGTGAAGGTCCCTTTCCAGAGCGGGGCCTGGGAGATGTGTGGCTCGGCCTGCCTCGCTGTCTGCTGCCCCGCTTAGAAGAGGTGGTCAGCACGTGTCCAGCGGCCCAGGGAGCGTGGACACGGGAGTGCCGTGGGCACGGGCGGGGCGTGGGCACGGGAGGGGCGGAGAGGCCCTGGTGGGGTGTCTGACTCCTCCATCCCGCCTCTTTGCAGAGGTGCTGCCACTGCTGCCTGCTGGGGCGGGCGGCCCAGGCCCAGGGCCAGAGCTGCGAGTACAACCTCATGGTCGGCTACCAGTGCGGCCTGGTCTTCCGGGCCTGCTGCGTCAAGGGCCAGGAGACCTCGGACTTGGCCCCCGCAGACAATGGGCACCTCCAGGACACAGGTAACTCCCCTGCTGTCCCCGCTGGGCAGTGCGCTCGCCAGGGCCATCCAGAGAAACAGCCATTGCGCGGGCACGTGTGTGTGTGTGTGTGTGTGTGTGTGTGCGCGCGCGTGTGCGCGTGTGCGCGTGTGCGTGTGTGCGTGTGTGCATGCGTGTGTGTGCGCGCGCGCGTGCGCGTGTGTGTGCGCGTGTGTGTGTGTGCGCGCATGCAGAGAGAGGAGAGGAGAGACTGATTTATGCGAAGGGCTTGGCTCGCACAGCGGTGGGCACTGGCAGTGTCAGGGCAGGGCAGGCACCCGAGAGCTGAGGTTGCAGCTCCGGTGCGAAGGCCGCCTGCCTGCAGAACTCCCTCTTGCTTGGGGCGGGGGGGGGGGGGGGGGGGGGCGGGGGGCGGGGGTTAGGCTTTCTCTTACGTCCTTCACCGGATTAGACAAGGCCCGCCCCCGTTCCGGAGAGCGATCTGCTTTACTGCAAGTCTGCTTATTTGAATGTTAGTCTCACCTGAAAATCCCGGCACGGTGATGTCCAGACTAGTGTTTGACCAAACACCGGGGTATCACGGCCCCCCGAGCTGACAATAAAATTCACCGTCACAACAGGCAGGTCCGCACACACGCCTGCCGTTGCCTTTAACTCAGCTGCAAACAGATTGCAGTTGTCAGAGCAGGTTCCTGTGCGTGTCCTCCTCTGAGACCCCTGCCTGGAGGGAGGCTGAGGGCTCGGGATCTGGGTTCTGACAAGTCAGGCTCATGTCCCCTCCTGACCTGTCTTTTTGGCAAACTGCTTTATCTGGGCCTCCGTTTCCTCATCTGTGAAATGGGGACAATGACAGCCCCACTCCCTAAGGCCGCTGGGGGGTTGAAAGGGAGGACGAGTGTGAGGTGGCGTGGTGCCTGCCTGGCTCCGGACACATTTGCGGCCACAGTTCTTCCCTGTCCCCCCACAGCCCTGGGCAGAGCGGGTGGCTGGCCTTGCTCTTATCCCCGGTGAGGACCTGATGCTCAAGGTCACATGGCCGACACGCAGAGGAGAGAGAGCTGGCCTCTCTCTCCATCTGGACTCGATGATGTGCAGACGAGAGGCTGGGGTGCCACTGCCAATAGCAGGCTATGCCCTTGCAAATAACAGATACTTACTCAGCGAAGGGTGCGTGACCCCAGGAGCAGCGCTGAGAGAGCTCCCTGCCCTGTGTCCACCGGTTCTGTCTCTCCACCGTCCATCTGTCCCCAGCCAGACAAACCCTGACGCCTCCGGGCCTGGAGTTCCAGGGTGAGGAGGCCGCTGGTTGCTTAATAATCTCTTCCCCTGATGCGCGATTTCCTGTGGATGCGAATACCCCGGAGCACTGCGGGCGTGTGCTCTGCCCCAGCCTGCTGCGGGCTGTGCTGCGGGCTGTGCTGCCTTCTCACTCTGAGTCCCCCCACCTCCCCCCAGTTAAAAGTGGGGGCAGGAAGGACTTAGGAAGGAGGACTCACAGACCCGAGGTCCCTAACGCAGGCCATCCATCCCTGCGGCTTTGGGCTTAGCCGGCAGCCCAGGGTGTGGGCGAGATGGATGTCTTTCATTTTTCACTCCTGGTTTCTCATTCCCAGCCCCTCGCGGCCCTGGGGCTGATTTCGGTATCGGAGCCACATTCCAGCCGCTCCTTGACTTTTGAAACCAGAGATGACATTTTTACTTTAAACCCGAACCGTCCTCCTGGGGGAGAATTCCTTCTGGTCTCTGGGGAGGACTTTTGTTGATTTATGTCTTGTTTCGATAAATATCTCCGGCTCTTCCGCTCCAGATGTCTCATGTCTCCCCCGCCTTTTCCCAGCTTCGGTCCTTGCCCCAGGCTTTCCTTGGAGTCTCTGTGAGCACTCCCCCCACTTACCCCCGCCCCCCCCAGCTGTGCCTTCTTCCCACCTCAGGCGTTCATTGTGGGCTTACTGTGTGCTGCCTCGAGGCCACACTGAGGGCCACAGACCCCTGCTGCCCTGTGACAAAATAAGTACAGAATTGAGAGCAAGCTTTTGGAAACTTCTATAAGCATTCGATCGAGTCCATTGTGTCTGTTTAACTGAAAAAAATCAAGGCTCGAATGTCTGTTTTCCTAACTTACTTTTCCTAGTAATTCGATTTTATTACATGCTATCAGGGTATTGGCCTAAGGCTGGGAAAGAACCCTGCTCCTTTACCACGGGTGGTTGGGGAAGCCTGGTTATTCCCATTCTACAGATTGGCAGACTGAGGCTGGGGAAGTGCAGGTTCGGGATTCGTTTTCTAGCAGGGATGGCAGTCTTTCCATGGCAAGCGCGCTGGCTCCCACAGAACGCCCCGGTCATCTTGATGACCTCACACCCAGCTGACAAAGCTTCCTCAGCGGTCCTCCTGGCCTTGTCAAACGAGCCCGTTGGAGGGCGGGGGCTGGACACCCTGGCCTGTGCTTGGCCCATGAAGGAGACTTGGTCTTTGCCAGCTTGAAGGCACCAAGTGAATGGAATGTCCCTAAAAGAGTAAATGCCCTGTGTGACGGTGCCCAGCCTCCTAGCCTAGAAGAGGGGTCCACCTGCAAGGCCTTCTGCTTAGTTCCTCTCCGGGTGGAAAGTGCTCTGAACACTCTAGAGACCCTTATTGGGTTTGAATAGCTCCCGAGAAAGAATGCCTTGTGCACGGTTAGGATGTGCAAGTTACGTTAGGTTGAATTTTACAGTAGAATTACTAGTGCTTCTTCCAAATGACGGTTATTGTTCCACCGTGCATGTATCATGTGCTCGCTGTGGGCATTTAGAAGATCCAGAAAGGTGGAAGGGAGAGGACAGCCACATGGGCATGGAGGTAGACACTGTTACTATAGGAAACCTACGCAGAGATGGGTACTGTTGCTATTGGAAACCCAGTGTGGTTGTAATGGCCGCTGAGCTGTGGTTGACTTGTGACCACTGTCTGGTGGGCGTGTCCCCAGCCTCAGACGGCTTGGTTTTCACGTGTTCCTTCCCACCCTTGGCCGTGTCACCGAAGTTGGAAGGACCGATCCGTTTCTCTCCCGCCAGACGACTGGTGGGACACTGGTCTGTGCGGAGTGCTGGCCCCGAGCAGAGCTCACACACCTTTATTTCTTGAGTCGAGGGAGTGACGACTGATGCTGGCACCACGTTGAGCTTTGCAGGCAGACTGCCTAAAAGAAGTGTCTTCATGTCCCAGGACGGCAGTGATAGAATCCACGGCCTGGGTGGGGCGTAACCAGCAGGCAAGCATTGCCTCACTGTCTGTGTGTCTGGTTGTGTCCAAATGCCCCCTTTCTGTAAGGGTGCAGGCATTGGCTCTGGGCCCACCCCATGGCCTCATCCTACTTGCTCACCTGCAAAGACCCTTCCCCAGTGAGTCCACACGCAGGTGCGGGTTAGGGCCTCGGCCCCTGGGGCACACGTTCCCCCGCAGCGCAGGCTGCTCCCGGTACGTTGCTGCAGGTGTGGGGTGTGACGTGATGGACAGCGGCCGAGAGGCCTTTGCTGAAATATTCAAGTCATTTGGACAGCGTGACAGGCTGCGAGGCCGGCGGGACATTCCAGGCCCTCGGGCCCAGGCTGCCTCTGTTAGAATGGATCTGTTGGAGATTTGGCCACTGTTATGAGTCCATTCTCTTTTTAAAAGGATACAGTGAATCCTGAGCTGTTAGGGGTGGTACAGACGGGCATTACTGCCTGACGTGTCCAAGAAGACAGACTTCTCAGTGTCTCTGAGAGAAGGCGGGGCGCTGGGGCAGGTTAACGGGGCGCTGGGTGGTAACGTGTCCTTGCCTGTGCCCACAGCTAAGCTCTCGGAGGCGGAGGAGGAGCAGGAGGACCCGTACCTGAATGACCGCTGCCGAGGTGAGGCTGTCCCTCCGGCCGTGTGGCCGGCAATGAGGCGGAGTCAGTGCTGTCTGCTTAGGAGCTTGACCGCGGGTGGCGCTCAGGTTCGCCTGGAGCTGCCCGCTGGCTGGGAGTCCACTGGGTCACTGTCCTCTGCCTGGCTCCTTTACTTCCTCCCTCCTCGCTAGGGCCTGGAGAGGGGGAGGAGGAGGGGAAGGGGGAGGGGGAGGGGAGGCCTGGAGAGGGAGAGGGAGAGGGAGAGGGTGGCCTGGAGAGGGGGGGGAGGGGGAGCTGGTGTTAGAACCCCTCCGCCCACGGTGCCGCCTGCCCCTGAGCCTCCTCCCAGGCTCTCAGCCGAGCACACAGCTGCCCCGAGGCGGGAGCCCTCGGGGAGGGGTGTCACCTGGCCCCACTGAGCCATCGCTAATACCCATTTGTCAGTGGCCAGGCCTTGCAGGTCTGTTTTCATGCTAAACGGGCATTTCTCTTTCCGGGACCATTAGGGCAGGTCGCTCCCAGGCTCACGCAGCAGCTGCCCTGTAGCTGGGGTGCAGGTCAGGGAGCCCGTTCATCGCCAAGTGGTGCGGTCGCTGTACAGGAGGGCAGGGCCCCAGGAAGCCTTGGATCTGCTGGGGGGGGGGGGGGGGGGGCGGGGGGGGGCATCAGAGGGTCTCCCGGGGAGGACAGCTGCTGTGGGTGGGTGAGGGCCGGTTAGAGGGGAAAGTCACATCGCCAGGGGATTGGGGTGTCGGGAGTGGAGACGGGTGGGGGGAGGCTGGCGCAGTGGGTGACCCCAGGTGCCGGGCAGTCAGACTGTACCGGGAGGATCTGTGCCTGGTGGAGGTTCGTCCTCATGAGACTTGCTCTGGGCATCACACTGGCGGAGGCGGTCAGGGGGGAGTGGGACTGGGACTGGGGCCGGGCTGGCCTCGGAGATGTGGGGACAGAAGGGGCCTCTCCAGGGCCCGCCTCCCCGTGTGGCCTGGGCCCTCGATATCCTTGCCGGGTGGGAGCGCCCCCTCTTGTCTGCCCTGCCCCTCCCAGCTCTGCTGCAGCAACGGAGCCCGCCCTGGAGGCACCGGGGCTGGGACCTGGAGCAGCGGCCCTGGGGGTGCCAGAGCCAGACCCTGGGGTCCCCCGTGGGAAGGCAGTGGCTGCAGCCTGCCTGTCAGTCACCCGAGGGCAGAGCTGGGAACCGCGGGTCTGGCGCGTGGGGCCCGCAGCTCACGTCTGTCTGGTTGCAGGCGGCGGGCCGTGTAAGCAGCAGTGCCGTGACACGGGCGAGGAGGTCGTCTGCTCGTGCTTTGTGGGCTACCAGCTGCTGGCCGACGGCGTCTCCTGTGAAGGTAACGTCGCCGAGCTCCGGGGACAGGACAGCGGGCCGCTGCCCCGGGGGCCTCTGCTTCTGCTGACATCCGGGCAGGTCCCACGCTGTACAACTCAGGGCCCGTCCCTGGGGAACAGCCCCGGGCCGGCTTCCCAGCATCCTTGGTGTTTGTACCACGTGCCGGGAACTGGGGTTGGGTGTGGGGTCTGATCGGGCCCTGAATCCCAGATCTGCTGAGTGGCCTGGGCATCCCCCGCAGCCCCCGCAGCCCCTGTCAGGAGACGGGCCCGTCTCTGTTCCGAAGGCTCACAGGCCTCCGCCTGGCCCGGCTCTGTGCTCAGCAGGAGCAGTTGATCAGAAACTTACCAGAGGAGACACCCCATGGCTTTGCTCCCATGGTGGGTGCCCAGCTCGAACGCGCAGGCGTGGGGACTGGATGGGAGCAGGGATCCACCCGCTCTGCCTTCTGGAACTTTCCTTGTGAGAAAGCGCTGTTCCTGCTGCTGACACCGCGTTGCCCGTCTCTCCTAGATGTGAATGAGTGCATCACGCGCACCCACAGCTGCCGGCTCGGCGAGTCCTGCATCAACACCGTGGGCTCGTTCCGCTGCCAGCGGGACAGCAGCTGCGGGACGGGCTATGAGCTCACGGAGGACAATGACTGCAAAGGTGCGACCTGGTCCCAGGCGGAAGCCCTCCTCTCCGGGTGGATGTGGGGTGGGAATGGCAGCCCTGGGCTCCCGGGTCTGGGCTCCCGGGTCTGGGCTCGGGGTGCTGCGCACCAGGGGTGGGGTGGGGGTCACCTTCTTGACCCGGAGTTAATGAGCTAATGGCAGCACCCGGGCGGTTTGGGTTTCTGAAATCGCTCAGAGCGTGATCCTTTGAGACCAAGGCCAGGGCTGCACCTCAGTGCTCACATGTGCTTGCTGCAAAGTCGATGTAATATATCTCGCACAGCAGCTGCCTCCCATCTGATGCAGGCTCCCTTGAAGTTCAAAGTGCCTTCCACGGCATAAAAACATGACATTTCTGGCCGCCGGCCTCCCCGCGCTGAGCCAGCGATGCTATTTGGCAGATAAGGCTTTGATGAGGATCTGTTGGAGCATAGTTTTGTGCTGAGGGGTTCCAGCCCTTCAGACAACAAACCGCTTGTGTAAAAACGTCGGTTGAATTATGAGGCCGGCTCAAAAGCCAGGCACGCCCTCCTGACGGCTGAGGGCTGTGGCCCGGCCCGGCCGCCCACGCCACCCCTGCAGGCGCGCTGGGTGGCGGGGAGCCTGGGAACCCAGGGGCTTGGCCGGCTGGAGTATACACTTCTGAGCATTTGACAGCCTTGAACTTCAAGGGAAGGGCAGCCAACACTCAGATCCTGAGAATCACCATTGTTCATGTTTGTCATATTATGACAAGCCCGGGATGAATGAGTTTATAGAGACAGTGTTTATTGCCACGAAGATCATCGCTTTCTGATCTAAGCAAAACATGTGCGCAGCCCGAAATGAGAATCAAACGGCCACATGTTGCCAGGAGAACGGCCGGGTTATTTATTATGTAACAGAAAGCTGGTCTCCTGAGAGCCTTGGTGGGAAGCCAGCGTTTTTTAAGCCGTTAGCAGTGCCAGCCCCGCTTGGCTCCCCCGGGCCCCTCTAGTCCGTGACCTCCCTCTTGAAATGTTTGGGGTTGGAGCTGAGTAATGAGCATTTCTTAGAAACGTGCTTGTGATGTTAAAGTGTTGTGAGATGCTTCTGGCAGGACTCTTGCTAACCATTTCCTTTTTTTATGATGTACCAGATATTGACGAGTGTGAGAGTGGTATTCATAACTGCCTCCCCGATTTTATCTGTCAGAATACTCTGGGATCCTTCCGCTGCCGACCCAAGCTACAGTGCAAGAGCGGCTTTATACAAGATGCTCTAGGCAACTGTATTGGTAAGACTGCCGCCAGGCTGCCGGGTCCACAGCGGGGCGAGCCACGGCACCGGGCCCCCTAGAATGTGGGGGCTCACGGTGGATAGAACAGAGGTCGGCCAGCTTTTTCTAGAAAGGGCCGAGTCGTAAACATGTCCGGCGTTGCGGGCCAGACCGTCTCTGCTGCCACTGTGGGAAAGCAGCCACACATATGCCAACAAAGGGGCAGGGCTGTGTCCCAATAAAACTTTATTTGCAAAATCCATTGTCGGGCTGGGCTTGGCCCCAGGGCTTCATGGAAGCTTAGCAGCCGCTGGTGTGGGGCAAAGCACTCGAGCTTTGGAGTCAGGTTTGAACTAAGGGACCGGAGGCAATCGCTTCCTTCCTTTGACCCTCAATTCCTTCCAGATCCCACGGGAGTAGTCATGTCTGGCTGTGGCTCGGGGCAAGGCTTCGGCAAGGTGACTGAAGGGTCTGGTCTGTAAAAAAACTTAAAAAAAAATCATCTGGATTCGCAGTCAAATTCATAGACACAGAGGGGAAGGCTGGTGGCTGGGGGCCTGGTGGGCGTGGGGAGTTGGGTTCTAGGGCCCAGTTTCAGTTGGAGAAAATCGAAATGGATGGATGGTGGCGGCGGCCGCACAACAGTGTTCGGTTCTGAGTGCCACTCCCCTGTGCACTTAAACGTGGTGAAAACGGTGAATTTCGTTGCGTATGTTTCACCACAAGAGAAACGGCCTGTGTTGCTAGCAGGGGGGACCTGGGGGACGTGCACGGCGGTGGATCCGTGTGAGCTTAGCGTGAGGAGGAGGTGAGGCGAGACAGGCCGAGCCTGAGGAGCTGCTGGGTCACCTGCCCAGGTGAACACCTGCCCGGTCACTGTTGGCACCTGAGCCCAGCTCGGCCGCCTGCCCTTGGCCTCCGCGGTCGGACCCTTCTCCCCCCTCCGGGCTGCAGACGTGCTGGTCACAGCCCACCTCCCGGCTGCCCCTTGCCCTGAGCGAGGGCTGGAGTTCTGCCTCAGCTCCATCCCCCCTCTCTGATGAATCTGTGCTCATCTGTGTGGAAATGGTAGTTTGCATGGAGACCCCTTTTATTTAAGTGAACCCCCCCCGAATATGTCAAGAGAAATAGAGCAGAGACCCCTTAGCACAGGGCCTCCCCTGAACCCAGCCCCAGTCTTGTTCCTAAAGCTCCCCTTTCGTCCTGTGGGGGCCTCAGCTGCTGGGGTTGGCCCCAAGCCAGCCCAGCTGTGGTCGCTGAGGCGGCAGCAAGCAGAGGCCCCCTCTCCAGGGCCAGCAGGGGGAGGGCCTGCCGGGACCTGCTGCTGCTCGAGGGAGCTCTGAGGAGGCGCACGGCTGCTGGGGATGGAAACCCTGCTCATGGCAAGAGCAGCCCGAGTGGCACAAAGCAGGGCATTTTCAAGTGTCCACTCAGCCCTGGCTTCCCGCTAGGGGTGCAGCGCTGTCCAGGGGGAGGCCCAAGGGCAGCGGGAGGGACAGTCCCTCAGATGGGGAGCCCGGGCGAGGGGGAGGGGCACAGCCTCGCAGGGGCCCAGGGCCCAGGATGTGGCCGAGGCCCGCCGCCAGCGCCTGCTATTCTGTGGGCGCAAAGCCCACGGCCAGCCCTCAGCCCAGGCACGTCCTTGACCCCAAGGTTAGGATTCGTTTAAAATGATTGTTTTTATTTTGAAAGCCACATGCATTCTTATTGACCAAAAAGCTAACCCAGCCCCAGCGCTGCAAGGGGAGGCCCCGCTCGCCGGGTCTGGTCTCTGCGACTGCGTCCTCGCGGCTCTTTGTTTTTGTAGAATGGGCCACGCTTCTGCCGCTTCTGCCGCGTTAAGAGTGTCCGGGCATCCTTTTGTGTCCGTGCCTTTCAGTCGTCTTTCAAAAATGACTGAAGTAGCCTAAGAATTCTTCATGAGGAGCAAGTGCAGCAGCGCCTCCTGCTCGCACACCTCCGCCCGCAGCTCGCTCACCCCCCCACCCCCCCCCCCGCCCGCCCCGTCAGTGCGGGCAGTGGTGGGAGCACTGACCTCCCATGTACCCAGGATGCATCTTGCTGGAGCCCCTGGAAGCCTCCCTGGGGCCCATGAGCCCAGGGGCCACCCCTCCGGCCACACAGCCCACAGCGGCCGCTGCGGAGCTCGGCCCGCGGGCCAGGGCACAGGGCGGACAGGCCCCGGAGAGCAGGGCCCTCTTTCCCTATTGTAGAGCATAGAGCAGGGGTGGGCAAACTTTTTGACTCGAGGGCCACAATGGGTTCTTAAACTGGACCGGAGGGCCGGAACAAAAGCATGGATGGAGTGTTTGTGTGAACTAATATAAATTCAAAGTAAACATCATTACATAAAAGGGTACGGTCTTTTTTTTTTTAAGTTTTATTCATTTCAAAGGGGCCGGATCCGGCCCACGGGCCGTAGTTTGCCCACGGCTGGCTTAGAGAATTCTAGGACCATGAGGCTTGGTCCCCGAGGGCCTTGAGACTCACATCTTTGTGGGTTTCCTTTTCCTTCCAGTCCCTTCACGTGCTCACCGTCTCTCTCTCTGCTCAGTGAGGCCGAGGGAGTGGGCCAGGGCAGGCGGGTCTCCAATGGTCCCGGATCCCAGAGGGGTGGGGGGCAGTGAACGGTCCAAGGTCATTGGGTTAAACAGAGTGGGCAGGCCCTTTACAGCTGGTATCTGGGCCTCCCGGGTGAGGGAGGGGTGGGGCAGGGCGTTCCCAAACTCCTCAGACCTTTTTCGTGTATTTGGTCTTTGTTCGCTCACTCTCCCACTCACTCACTCACCCAGTGGTCGCCTGGTCCTCTGCCATGGAGCTCGCAGGCTGGGACCCCCTCTCTGGAGTCTCTAGGGGCACCCGGGTTCCATGGCACAGAGTTTGGGAACTGTAGGTCTTGCTGGGGAGCGCAGGGCTTCGCAGGGAGGGAGCACTGTCATTGCTAAACGTGCATTCACCCTTGACACGGGCAGAGGCCCACGTTTCTCTGTGAAGGACTAGACGGCGGCCATCAGCCTCTCCGGCCGCAGGGTCTCTGGCAGCACCTCCAGGGCAGATGAAGGACGGGCTGTGTCCAGTGCCCTGCTCTTCCCAGCAGGGTGGGAGGCTGAGACCCCGCCCCAGACTCTGAGCGGCTCCAGCCTCGAGCGGGGAGCTTCCTGTTTATACAGCGCAGATGAGAGCCCGCGCTGCCTGCGAGGGCAGCTGGGTGCTGTGTGGCCGGCAGGGGACGAGCTGGTGGGCGAGCGGCCAGCTGATCTGTCTGAGGAGGGTGGGCGTGGCTGAGGGCTGATCCCTCGTTTTGCCTTCAGCCTGGGGGCCCTGGACGGTCCTCTCACCCCGTAGGTGCTTTGTTAGTGTCTGCCTGACACTGACAAATGGAGGTCCTTTGAGAAGCCCCCCAGCGGGACGCCCAGGCGGTGGGTCTGGCACCGATTTGAGCGGGAGGAGAGAGCGGACGCGCGCAGCGCTCCTGTTTGTTTCCTGGTGCATATTGGCTGGTGCGGGTTCATCACAGGCGGACAGCCCAGGGCGCTGTGTGGGGGGCGTGTTCCGTCAGGGAGGGAGTCAGCGCAGGCCCCGAGGGCCCAGGTGGGGGCGGGCAGGAAGTGTCTCCTTCAAGGTGGCACCAAGCTGGGCAGACAGACAGGGGAGGTGGCTTCCTAAGCAGGGACCGTGTGCATAAAGGCCCAGAGGTGGGACCCGCGTGGGAGCCGGGGAGCCAGGCCAGTCACTGGAGAGCACAGAGCCTCCCCAGGGCCAGGGTGCTGGCACCGAGGGGCTGGCCCCCTGTCTCCCTTGGCCCGCGCCCGCTCAGGGAGGGTGCCCGGTATACCCGTGGAGTGGGACACGGGTGGCACCCAGGTGGCCAGGCCCACTGGCGGGACTCATAGGGGCCCTGACAGTGGAGGGGTGGGAAGACGGGCGGCAGCTTTGGACTCGGTGCTGAGGAAGGTGTAGGTGTCGGAGATTTAGGGGCTGGAAGACGGGCCAGGGAGGTGGTGTTTCAGGGGGGGTGTGCTGGCGAGATCTGGGGCAGGTGGAGGCCGCTGTGGGTTCAGGGCGGTCGTCGCACCTGTTTGTGGCGTTGCAAAGGGGAGGGGGTGGGGGTTCTTTGGTGCTCTGTGTCTAACCACGGCGTCTCTGTCTTTCCCCTGCAGATATCAATGAGTGTTTGAGTATCAGCCCCTCGTGCCCCGTCGGGCACACGTGCATCAACACGGAGGGCTCGTACACGTGCCAGAAGAACGTGCCCAACTGTGGCCGTGGCTACCATCTCAACGAGGAGGGCACCCGCTGTGTGGGTTGGTATTAAAAAGAAAACCGATTGGAACGGACTCTTCTCCTGCGCCCAGCACAACCTCGCTTCTCTGGAGGGGACAGTGCGTCCCCAGGGGGCAGCCATTGCCCGTTCCTCCATCCCGTGCTGGTCTCCAGGCACAGGCCTGGTGGGCGCTGCCTGGACGCTGCAGTGCATGCCAGCCGCCCCGCTCCAGCTCCGCCCCCTCGCTCGGTCCAGTCGTCCTGGGCTGAAAGCTCTCCGGCCCCTCCGTGCTCAGCCCCCAGTGGTGACAGAGAGACACAGGTGCCCTGCTTTTGCGCGGTCCTCCCGAGCGGCCCCCACCTCACACACCGTCTAATCCAGGTGCAGTGGGTCCTGCTGCTCCCCGAGCAGGCCTCCCTTCCCTCTTGCATTGCTCCCTCTGCCCACCTGCCCTCCATGTCCTGGATCCAGGGCCCAGACCCTGCGGGCCAACAGGGGCCTTCCTCCCCGTCACCCCCAGAGCACTCCCTCAGCGTCTCCCCGTCAGCGGGCACTGCCTGCCGTAACTAAGGTCATTGTGACCGGAGTTCCTGCGGGCAGGGGCAGCTGTCTCCCGCCCTGGGCCCCGCACACAGTAGGTGCTTGGGAAATCGTGTGGAAGCATAAACGATGCTGCTTTGTCATGTGCCTTTCAGTTTGCTCCTTCCCTCTGACCATCCTGGGGGCACACACACACTCTTACACACACACACACACACTCTCATACACACACACACACACTCATACCCTCATACCTACACACATATACTCTCTCACACACACATTCACACACACATACACACACACACACACACTCTCTCTCTCACACACACACTCTCATACCTACACACATACACTCTCTCACACACACATTCACACACACTCATACACACACAAACACACTCACATTTACACACACACTCTCTCACGCACACTCTCACACTCACACACACACTCTCACACTCACACTCTCACACTCACACACTCTCACACTCACACACATACACTCTCTCACACACACTCACATTCACACTCACACACAAACACACTCACATTTACACACACACTCTCTCACGCACACTCTCACACTCACACACACACTCTCACACTCACACTCTCACACTCACACACTCACACTCACACACATACACTCTCACACACACTCACATTCACACTCACACACACACACACTCACGCACACTCTCACACTCACACACATACACTCTCACACTCACACACTCACACACACACACACACACACTGAAGGTGTTCACTGTGTCTTTCTCTTTGCAAGACGTGGATGAGTGCGCGCCGCCCGCGGAGCCCTGCGGGCCGGGCCACCTCTGCATGAACTCCGCTGGAAGCTTCCGCTGCGAGTGCAAGGCCGGCTTCTATTTCGACGGCATCAGCAGGACATGTGTGGGTGCGTGGGGTCCTGGCCAGATGGCACCCAACAGAACCAGCCTGTGCTTCCCGGAGTGACCGTGGTCTGCTCCTCAGAGCAGGACCCTGAGTCCGGAGACCCATCCGGTTCCGGCTCTGCAGCCCCCCTACCCCCGGCCTGAGCCGGTCTCCCACCTGCACGCCAGGTGCTCCCCGTCACCTCAGACCTCCTAGTGTCTATGAGGCTCCAGCCCCTGGAAAAATGCCCCAAACATCAGTGATTTCCCAGAGATTCACTCTCTAACTGCAGGGCCGCAGGCCCTGAGCTGTGTGTGCAGCCAGGGCAGTGAGAACAGACAGCATGGCGCCGGCCCTCCAGGAGCAGGGACAGACCCTGCTGGCTCGCCTGCCCCACCCACCCCCAGGGACCCTTGGCCAGAGCCCCTGGACCCGCCCTCGGGGCTCTGGGGCAGAGAACTCAGGGGCAGGCACACACCCAGAGGCATCGTCCTGGAAAGAGCAGGGGAGCCCAGGGGGTGGGCCCAGTGCGGGGGGTGGGGGGGGCAGGCCCCGTGTGGCCCTGGCTTCCTGCTGACCTGCCCTGTTCTGGGGACAAGTCGCTTTGCCCCCTCGCCTGAGAAGGGAGCTGAGGGACACAGAGGGGAGGCCGAGCCCTGAGCCCGCCCGCTGCGTTGCAGACATCAACGAGTGCCGGCGCTACTCCGGGCGCCTGTGCAGCCACAAGTGCGAGAACACGCTGGGATCCTTCCACTGCAGCTGCTCCGCGGGCTTCCGGCTGGCGCCCGACGGCCGCTCCTGCGAAGGTGAGGCCGGGCCAGGCGGCCCGCGGGGACTGACCCACGTCCGTGTCCCAGCACGTGTGGGAGGAAGGTTCTCGGGGGACGCGCCTGTGGAAAGGTTGCTGTCAGGTGCTGCGCGAGTTTCCCTGCGTCCCGGAGGCCACGCACCTGCCCGCCCAGCCGCCCCCTGGGCGACAGGGCAGATGCGGGGAGGGTGTGGGGTCGGAGCCACAGAGCCACCAGTTCACGCGACCGTGGGGAGTGGCTGACCTCACCTGCCTTGGTGGCCTCATGGGGGAAGTGGGGTGGATGCGCCAAAGAGAAACAAAAGCCGGCCAGATGTTACGTGGACTCTGGCAGGGGAGAGACCTTGGTGTTCGCGGCTCTCGGCTCCACCAAAGGGGAGCTTTAAGTGCTGGGTGTGTGGTGTTTTAGGGGGGCTGGGGCCCTCGTCCTCAGAGGACCAGTGGAGGCTGCATGCTGAGGGCTCGGGTCTCTGAGTGCGCGGGGTGGGGTGAGGGAGGTTGGACGGGCTCCTGGTGCCGAGAGCCTGGCTTCTCAGGTGACGCTGGCCCCGATGGGTGGAGACGAGGTGGTCAGTGTGTCCAGCGCAGGGTCTGGACATGCTGGGCCTCAGCACAGGTCTCGCCTTCTGTGGGGCCGGGCTCTGAGGTCAGCAGAGAGGGAGACTGTGACAGCCCCGACGATCGCCCACGTTGCCTGGCAGGCCCTGTTCTGCGCGGGGCAGTGCCCGGGCCGGGGTGCAGCGGGCGCAGGCGCGGAGGCCCCAGGTCCCGGAATAAGAGGAAGTGGTCAGCGACGTCCGCCTGCCAGGCTGCGCTCCAGCGCGCCATCCTCAGACTGGAGGCCGACGGTGCGATGTGCTCCTGGCGCCCGCGCTTCCCCCGAGATCCTGGGATTTGTCCCCAAGAACCAGACCCAGCTGGTGTCTATTCGCAAGGAACCAGCTTCCCACTGGGGTCCTTCGGGCCTGGGTTTAAATCCCTGCTCTGCCCTGGTTGTGGTCTCAAAGGAGTCACTCGGCATTTCTAGGCCTCAGTGTTCTCGTCCGTGCAATGGGGGTGTTAGGGCCCACGGTGGAGGGGTCGTGAGGGTGAGCCGAGAGGAAGCAGATGACAGGCTATCACATGGCTGGTGTGAAGTGGGGCGCTGGCAACGTGGCGACGCTCATATCATCGTTATTATCGATCAAGGCTTGTGCCGTCCTGGTCCCCCTCAGTGACTGGAAAGTAGACACTCATATCTGTGCCCGTGGGCGATATTGTGGACACAAAACCAGGGCCCGGCCAACCTGGCGTGTTATGCCACTAGGCCTTTACAAAGCGCCTCCAAAGTGTGTAGTTAGAACATGGTTCCCGCCTTCAGGGCATCTCTCTAGGATGTGACTGACGGAGCCACGCTGGGCAGAGGCAGGTGGGCAGGTGCAGCCAGGCTGGGGGTGGGGGCTGCAGGGATGGAACATGGGGCGGGGGGGTGGTGGGAAGCGGCTAATGGATGTTCTCAGGTGCTCGGCCCTCCTGCCCTGCTAAGAATTAGCAGTAACTCACTGTGAGAAGAGACTTCTGGGCAGAGGTTGGCAAGCTTTTCTTTCTAAAAGCCACTTAGTAAATGTTTTAGGCTTTACTAGCCAAAGTCTCCATTGGAACTATTCAACTCTAATAGATCTGTCCTATTATAGGGGATAAGCAGCCTTAGATTGCAGTAAATGAATGCATGTGGCTGTGTGCCAATAAAACTTTATTTACAGAAACAAGTTGGGGGCCAATGTATGCTGATCCCTGCTCTAAGCAAAGGGAATAGATGAGCGAGAGCCCAGAGTTGCTGAGTGGCCCGAGGAGTTCTGAGCGTTGGAGTACTGGGTGTTGGGGTACCAACAGGTCATGCAGGCCCTCGGTGCAGGGGACCTTGTCTGGGACGTGAAGCCGGGAGGACATGATCACATTCCATGAGCTAGAAGGACTCTGGTACCAGGCGACGGCGGGGTGGAAGGAGCTGAGGTCAGAGGCTGTTCCTGCCGCCCAACGGGAGAGGGTGCAGCTGGAAGCAGGCCGTGGTGGGGATGGAGGATCCAGCCCTCTGTCTTTCTGGGGACCCCAGGCGACCCCCAGCCCCGCACTCAAGGATCTCCGGCTCTCTGCCTCTGTACAAGGCCCCAGGGACGCGGGCCATGGCTCTGAGGTGACCCCGGGCACCCTCTCTTTCAGATGTGAACGAATGCACCAGCAGCCCCTGCAGCCAGGAGTGCGCCAACGTCTACGGCTCCTTCCAGTGCTACTGCCGCCGCGGCTTCCAGCTCAGCGACGTGGACGGGGTCACCTGCGAAGGTGAGTCTGCTCCCTGCGGCCATCTGTGCAGCGCCTTTGCAGGCGGGCCGCTTGCTTTCCCCTCTGCCTGAGACTTACTGGGCGTCCTTTACCCGCCCTGAGAGTGAGGTTGGGAAAGAAGCTAAGCCACTCGCCACGTTTTTCGTGAATAAACACGTAACGGTGGTGATCACCGTGTGTGCCGGGACCCCCAGGGGTGAGGAGGGGGCTCGGGGCTACCCATATCCCTGACTTTTGAGGGCCCCTCACTGGCTTGGGCCCTCCTCCTCAGCATGGGGTGCGCCCCACACTCTCCCAGGAGTCGGAGGATGAACCCTGGTGATGAGTCAGAAGTGCTTCCTACAGCGCCTGGCCCAGCGAGGGTTTGGACGCTGCTGGGCTTGTTGCCGTTCCGGGAGGGTCTCCATCAGCACATTCGTAATGCTGAGCACCAGGCCCCTGCCAGCGCAGGCTCCTGAGCTGGGGTCCTTCTGAAGCCCCGCCTGTCCCCTCTGCTCAGCCCCCATCCCGCCTCCTTCCCCACATGAGCTTGCTGTGTGGCCGAGGCTAGTTCCTTCCCCTCTCTGGGCCCGTCTTCCCTTCTGATGTGATGATCTCCGACGCCGCCCCAGCCCCGGCACTTCAAGGGCTCCCGTGTCCAGCTGGCCCTGTGCGGCTGCCCTCCCCGGCCCCAGCCTGGGCCCCTGGGGACACGCGGCCCGGCCTGGGCCACACGGGCGCTGAGGGTGGGCCTTGCTGTTGCAGACATCGATGAGTGCGCCCTGCCCACCGGGGGCCACATCTGCTCCTACCGCTGCATCAACTTCCCCGGGAGCTTCCAGTGCAGCTGCCCCCCGACTGGGTACAAGCTGGCCCCCAACGGACGCAACTGCCAGGGTGAGTGAGCTGGGCTCCGCGGGCACGGGGCACGCTTGGGGCTCTGGTGTTGGGGCACCATCGGCGGGGTGCATTCAGGGAGGGGAGGGGAGGCCTCCGCGAGTACCCTGGTCTCCCACACCTGCCCCCACCCCCAGCACCCCTGACCACAGAGGGTTCTGAGCCCTCCACCCTGCCCTCGGCAGGCCCAGGGCTGGACCAGGGCTGATGGCCTGTAGGAAGAGGCCCGCCCAGGAGGAAATGCGAAGTCCTCACCGAGGACTCTTCCACAGCACGTTTGCTGAGTTCACACTCAGTCATTTGACAAACCCCAGACCTTGCTAGGTGTTAAGGGCAAACAGTGAGCAGATGGTGGAGCTAAGGTGCCCACCCCTGCCCAGACGAGGGGAGGGTGTGGTCTGGCTGTGTGACAACTCCAGGGTCTCTAGGGCTGGAAGGGTCCATTGGGGCTGGGGGTTGGCTCTGGCCTGGACGGATGAGGGGACACTGGGCTCCCATATGTGATGTGCTCCAGGGGTCATCCTGCGGCCTGTGCCTGTCCTTCTGGTCACGGGGGTGCTGAGCAGATCTTTGTGAGCGAGTGACCTGCCTGGGTCACGGCCTTACCTCCGGGATTGGCCCTGAGGCTGGATCTAGAGGTCAGATCTGTCCAGCCCCTTCCCCAGAGCCCCCACATGGGGCTGGTGACCCAGAGGCTCTGGAGGCCCCCGGTTCTGTAGATGTGATTTCTGGTTTTGAAGAAGGTGACCCTGACCCAAGGCAGCAGCTGGGCGTGTCCTGGGAGGCCCCTGCAGCTGGTCCGAGCTGTTTTCACATTTCTGAGGGAGCAGATAACATCCCTGCCCTGGCCAGGCTCCCTCATCACAGCCCCGGGGTCCTGCCAGACGCAGCAAAAACACATTCCGGAGCCCCGGCTCTGGGCCAGTGAGATTAGAAGTGTTACTTTCTCCACTGAGGTCAGGCATTCGGCCCCTCTTAAGAGATGCCCCCTGGCTCGGTGATGTCCCCGGGGCCCCACCATTTGGCTGCTCAGAGAGTTGTGGGCAGGGGGAAGGCTCCCATGTCCAGGGTCCAGCCCAGACATCGCTGACCCTGGACACCTGGCACAACGTAGAATTGCACTGGGCCTCGGTTTCCTCATCTGTCACACGGGGCTCGCAGCTTCACTCTTTCCTCGCTGGGATGTTCTGAGTCACGTAAGGTGAGGGCGATGAGCCTCGGGAGCTGCGGAGAGGCGCTGGCTGGTCAGAGCGTGGGCCCCGGCGCCAGCCTGCCCGGGTTCAAAGCTCGGCTCCGCCACTTACAAGATGTTTGACCTTAGGCCAGCTCCCCCCAAATGAGGGAAACAGTCCTTGCCTCAGTGAATTGTTAGGAGAATTAAGAGAACTTGGTGAAGCATTTCCAGGGCATCAGAGTGTTAGCTGTAATCATTGTTATGCTTATTCCAGAGATTGTGAATAATCAGTAAACACTCTATAAATTAAACGTCCTAGAAATAAAAGAGGTGGCACAGGGCGCTGCTCCAGAGAGCAGTCAACGGAGGGCAAGGATGGCCCGATCCCCACCCGACCCTGGCTGGTAGGAGGCCCCAGCACCCCTGTCTGTGGGTGGGGACTGCTCAGGTCGCCTCGGCCTTCACTGTGTTGCTTTGGTCTCTTGCAGACATTGACGAGTGTGTGACCGGCATACACAACTGCTCCATCAATGAGACGTGCTTCAACATCCAGGGCGGCTTCCGCTGTCTGGCCTTCGAGTGTCCGGAGAACTACCGCCGCTCCGCGGACACGTAAGTCCCTCGGCCGTCAGTTGTCTGTCTGTGTCGGCCTCCCTGGGGGTCCGCCGCCCAGCCTGGGCAGGTGGTTAATGAGTGTGCCCCCTGCAGGGGTCTCGGGAAACTCAGGACCCCAGATTCTCAGGCCCCTGAATGTCAGGGAGACTGGTCACAGATACCAAGGTCTCCCAGGAGCTGGAGGTCAGCGGGCCTGCTCTCCCAGCAGCCTGTGCGTGGAGCCAGGCAGAACCCAGCCCTCTTGTTTCCCAGTGGGAAACTTGGTCTGGGGCAGCTCTCTGGGCCTCAGTTTCCTCATCTGTAAGACACAAATGTCAGGATGCTCTAAATCAGGTGAAGGTGGCGACGACGCCAGGTGGGCCCACGTGACAGGTTGGGGCGTCATTATTAGGAGAACCCGTCTGAAAGCCGGACTGTGTTCAGCCCAGTGGCTGTGGGAATCGTGTGGAAGATTCCGTGGCCATATGCCATTGTGAGCCCACCGTCCCAGGCCCCTGGGCTGCCTGCAGGATGTCAGGGATCCCCCTTCCTCAGGGAGCAGTGAGGTCTCTGGGTCCACCACACACCATCCCACCTGGTTTTATTTCATCTCGGTTAGCACCATGGTCAGTTGTTTCAGGAAAAGCTCCCCGGTGGGAGACAATCTCAGGAATGTGCATACGTGAGCTGTCCTCCAGCCCCTGGACATGGCTCCAAGCCAGCACCCAGCCGGGCTGACTGTGGGCTTGGCCCCTTGACCTTGAGCCTGCTCCTCCCGCCAGGAGGATCAGTACACCAGGCCCCAGTGTCCACTTGCTCAGCCCCAGGGCCCTGGCTCCTGGTTCTGGCCTGGCCTCCAGCATGTTGAAACCCTGAGTAGGTTCCAGCCAGACTCAGACAGCCCAGGCCCTTGGCAGCCTCGCCCTCCCCCGGGGCTGCTCTGTGCCCCCGCTGTGTTTTGTCTGCTTGGAACCCAGCACCCGCTTCCTTCCTGGGCTGGTCGGGAGAGCGCTCCAGCACTGGGCTTGCGAGCAAGCAGCCTTCCAAAGAGGCTGTGGTTACGCAATGGCCAGCGGGCGGTGGCCCTCCTCTGGTTAAGGAAGCCCGTGTCCTTCATGGAGGCTGTGCTGCCCTTTGTCATTGTAAGTCCCCTCTCCCACAGCTCCGTCCACCTCTGCTGTTTGCCACCGGCCTCTAACACACAAGCCAGGAAAGTAAAAGGCAGGAGGCCACCCTGTGCGGGTCTTCACCCCTCCTGAGCTGCGGCTGGGCGGGTTGGCATTGTGCGCCGAGGTTGTGTGAAATCTGCAGACCTCCCCTCAGTTGCTGTGCGCTCTGGAAGTCCTCGCCACCCTCAGTGTGGGAGAAACTTCCTGACTTGCTTGGGGAACATTCATCGCAGGCCTACTGTGTGCAGGCACCTGGGCTGAGAGGCCCCCAGCCCCTGCCCACTAGCAGCACTGCAAAACCAGCAATGGCCAGAGTTCACGGGTGCTGAGACCAAGGAGGGCCCCCACATAGCTGGGGTGGCGGCAGGGGGCGCTTGGCTTAGGCAATGCTTAAATGAAGCAGGAAGAACTGAGGCAGGCAGAGAGGGAGGAGGTGGAGGGCACGACCACAGCGGGGTGTAGACACCCATTAAACAGGGAAGGAAGGAGCTCCCAGCAGTAACCTGGGGTGTTCAGCAAGGAGCGGCGTAGCCTCACCGAGTGGCTGATGCCCGAAGGCCTGGTCTGTCCCCACCTCATGGATTCATCGCTGCTCCCTGGGCTGGTAAAGAGGGGGATCGTCATTCTTCATAAATAAGGGCAGGACGTGGGCCCACCCACTGTAAAGGCGAGAGGCAGCAGGCGGCTCCCGGGGGCCCCTCCAGGGAAGGTGGCTGCTGTATGAATGCCCATTCCTGCTCACTGGTGCCACCCAGTGGCACAGGCGGAGAATGGAACTGAGAGGGTCCTGACCTGAGGAGGCCAGGCAAGGCCCATGACTGTTCTCACCACCTGGGATGCTGATACGGCTTTGTAGTCAGGCAGGTCTCTTGACCTTGACCGGAAGCAGGTCCCCTCATGTCCTCCATGTCCTCAGTGGTACCGGGAGTGGGGACGCCCCCCTTCTGGGCTCCTGTTGGATGACCTGTGACTGTGGGGCAAAGCCCGCTCCATAAAGCTCGCTCCAGTTCACCTCTTGCGGGGTTTGGGTGGGCACCCCAAGGCCTATTTTACTGCCAGTCTGTGGCTCTCCTGTTCCTCAGTGCTGTGGCCTCGGGGCAGTCTCTTGCCACCCAAGAGCCCTTGCTGCATCTGTCATCCCTGCTTGGCAAGGCCTTGGGGACCAGTGAGCACCGGCAGGGATGAGCCCCAGGCGCCAGCCCAGTGAGCGCTGGTCTTAGAGCACAGTGGTGGCCAGGAGGGCGGTCTGCCTGCTGGGGTTTCCTCCGGACCCAGCGTCAATGTAGAGGCTCTGCGGCCCCCCCGCAGCCTCGCTCTGGCGGCCGGCCGTGTGGCCGCTGGGTTCCTCGGCCCTCTGATGGGAAGGTGGGGCGTGGCTCCTGCAAGGCCACATGGTCACAGGGCGCCACTGCTGCTCCCAGGAATCTGTCTGGTTACAGTTCTCTCCTGTTCTGGCCCCTCTTGAGGAATCACTGACCAGCCTGGAGTCCAAGTCGAGGGCTGCCCGGTCCAGTAGGGGGCTTCCTCAGAGGCCACGGGAGCACCGATCCCTTAGTGGGAACATAGTGACAAGTCACTGACAAGTGGCATCAGTGGAATTTTCTGTTTTACAGCCCATTTCCTTCCTCCTCATAACTCCTCTTAAAGAACTGGTTCCATGACCTTGGGAAGGGGTTTGCATTAGAGCTGTACTAGGAAGGCTGGAGGCAGCCCGTCTGTGGTTGCCATTCAGCGGGAGGGCTTGTTCAGGGCCCTCGAGGGGCAAGGTCGAAGCTTCCCTCGCTCTCGCTGGGCCTCAGCCTCCCTCTCTCCATGCGGTCTCCTGGGCAGTGTCCCTGGTGACCAAGGGCAGTAGCTGGAGCATGGCCAGCAGGCTGGCCACAGACCACAGGGCCGGGCCTCGCGGACCGAGCAGGCTGTTCAGATCCCGACCACACAGTCCCCCCTGCCCGCCTGAGGGGTGTCCCCGGTCCCGGCGCCGGGGGTGGAACTGGAAATCCTCTCTCCTCCGCGGAGCCTCCTGAGACTCATGGTCTCGGAAGGCAGAGTGGGCTGGGCAGCCTTGGTTCTTGGTTGGCACGGCTCTTGGCCTGAGGGTGCAGTTGCCGGCAGACAGGGGGTGAGGCCCTGCCCTGGCGGCTCCTGGGGCTTGTCTCCAGGAGCGTGAAAGTCAGGGACAGCGGCAAGTGTCACCCAGCCTGGGGTGGCCAGAATGGCCCTGTGTCCCGGGAGAAGGACGGGCCTTGAGAACCGTTTTTCTCTGATATGTGGTGGCTTTCAAAATTACTTTTTCATGGAATATGGGGTGTTGTGACTAAAAAATTGGGGCACATTTTTCTCGTGTGCACGATGAGGTGGACACTGAGGCGCGGGGACCAGCGGCTGGCTCCCCTCTGCTCTGTGATAGATGTAGTGATGGACCCGCCTCAGTCTAGACCAGCGGTTCTCAACCTGTGGGTCGTGACCCCTTTGGCCGTCGAACGACCCTTTCACTGGGGTTGCCTAAGACCATCCTGCATATCAGATATTTACATTATGATTCATAACAGTAGCAACATGACAGTTATGAAGTAGCAACGAAAATAATTTTATGGTTGGGTCACAACATGAGGAACTGTATTTAAAGGGCCAGAAGGTTGAGAACCATTGGTAGACCCATGAAGACTGTGCCCTTCCCCGTCTGCAGGAGGTTTGCCAGAAGCAGCAGCAGGTGTTCCGGGCGGTTCGGTACGTCAGGGCACTGCTCGACAGAACAGCTGATCAGGAAAATGGGGCCATGCTGATTTGTGCACATTTGCTGAACACACAGGAGGTGCCGCGCCCATGCTGGGCATGGAGATAAAGCCAGGGTGCCCGCCACGCCCTTGGGCAGCGGGTGGCCTAGGAGTCAGGCTGAGAAATGCCCAGTGCCAGGAGGGCTGGGGGCTCTGTGACTGACTGTGGGGCTGGGACTGTGGGGACCCGTGAGCAGGAAGGCATGTCTGGCTGGCTGTGTGTGATGGCTGCGGAAGCTGTACCAGGACGTCACGCACACTTCCCGTTCCCCGCCATCCACACGTGCTGGGCCAATGTTTCCAAATCAAAACCCTGTCCCCGGAGAGGGGACAGGCCGCGCAGGTGGGCAAGCTTAACGCACTGAAGGCGACTAGCGCCACCTGCTGGCCAGGCCCACCGGGCCCTTTCTGAAGCTGCTGCACCTGCATGCGTGTGCGTGTGTGTGTGTGCGTGTGTGTGTGTGTGTGTGTGTGTGCAAGTGTGTGTGTGAGAGAGAAAGAGAGAGAGAGCGAGAGGATGCAAAGTCTTTGAAGTGGGGCTGACTTGCCTCAGCCACTGACTGCGGCCTGGAGTCATGCACTCGCGGAGCTTGTCTCCTGTCAGTACAGTGAGGAGAAGGATGTGAAGGGAAGTGAGCTGGTGGGATGGGCAGCATGAAGCCGCACCGCCCAGGTCAGGTCGCCTGGAGCGCTCCCATCGGCCTGGGCTTGGCTGTCTCTGCGGCTGGGCTGTCTCGGGCCCAGGCCGCCTCTCCTATTCTCCCTCTGCTCCGGGTTCCCTCCCAGGCATGGCTCGCTCTTCAGTGTGCCCGTTCCTCACATACCTGTAGCGCCATGAGCCCACCCCAGGGCCGGCCTTTCTAAAACTCAGGCTGGTCACGTGAGAGGGCACCATCAGTCCTGAGAGCGGCTGAGGTAGGCAGTAAAGGAGACCACGCTCACCCACCACGTGAGTGTGAAATAAGCCCAAGTAACCCAGCACGAGGATGAAAACTCACCAAGCTGGTGGGGGACGTGATGGAAGACGAGGGCGGTAGATGCTCCAACTGGAGAATTTAAACAGTCCACGTGGCAG